TACATTTTTTATATTTTCAGTGTGTGTTTAGTGTTTAATGTGTGTTTTCTTAAGGCGTGTTTTTGCACTGGAAAAAGGAGTGGCTCTTAATTTCATTGTACTGCGTATAATGACAATAAAGGCATTCTGATTCTGAAGCCATTTCCTTACGTGCACAAGATGTAATTATACAACGTATCCAGCAGATGGCGCATGCAGACTACTTCCAAGTCATGGTCGTTCACTTTAACTTTTACTTTCAGCGCAGCCACAGCAGGGAGCAACACTGTGTAGCGTATTTTACTGAACAGAGCGTGGTAAGTTTATTTTAACTGATCTGTAAAATAAATCAACAATAATAAATTCTCTTCAGTCCTCCAACCTGCTTGTCATTATCTACGTACCTTTCAAATTGGCAAGCTAACGTTTAGATAACCTAGCATAGGCTATTGCCTTATAAAACTTTACATGACTGATTGTTGAAACAATAAACAGGAAGGACGTTTATTTGTTTAATTTATATTTTTGTAACACATTTGATAACTTTATGGTGAATAGTGGAGGATAGAAAATGTGAACGCACGTTAGGAAGACTGGTAGCTAAGCAGCTGTTTACTTAGATTCTTGGGGGTGGACAAAGCTAAAAACATTAATCCTATATATTGATTATCAACATTAACCTGGGCCTCCTAATATCGGTATTGGCGATAGCCAAAATTTCCATATCGGTCAAACTCTAGTCTGTTGGACTGCTTTTAGCTACAGTTTTGCTTGTTTAGCTTTAGCATAAATTTAGCTAGTTTTTCCAAATTTACCTTTGGCATCTATTTAGCTACTGTCTTGTTTGTTTAGTATTATTATCTGTTTAGCTAATTACAACTACAGTTGTAATAGGTAGATTTATTTGCTACAGTTTCACTGACCTGAGTGTTGCTTTTTTTTTGGTGTATAACGACTTGTAAAAATGTATTACAGGTTGACTCGTCAATGTCAAACCAGCTAAAGTGTCCCGAGTGACAGAAGTTCAGGGATGGGGTTGACTGGTCTTGGTATACTTCAGTAGGGCTGAAGTATTACACGGCATAAACTTCCTGCCTTTTTCTCATGACGCCAACAAGAGTTGAGTGGATGAGGAAATGAGTGTGTGTTTGTGTGTGGGGGGGGATATTGTTGCCAACTTACCACTTTCTGTTTCTGCTTTCCTGTAGGAGGAGGGGGGAGAGAAGACAGTGAGAGTGTCGTCAGTAGCTGCAGCTACAGAAGAAATAAAATAATAATAATTCTGGACTCTACATCAAAGGAAACCTATCAAAAACAACGGATATAATGCAAATGCATCTATAGTCCTAGGGTATATTCACAAAGCCACATGAGAGCAGTTCAGAGTGGGGGGTCATAGTCTTGTCGTTGGGTTCACTCTGTGGTTAGCCCCAGTCTCAGAGCGCCTGCAGTCCTCAACTGGAGGAAGAGGAGGATCATGGGAAAAAGTACCACCAACTCTATGCAGTAAACTTAAGCTCTACGTGGAGACACGGGAAGGCTTTAGAGTCTTGTTCTGTCTAACAGTGCTGTGGTTCAGGACATTTGGGTTTGGATCGGGCGGATTATTAACGGACCCCCCCTCCCCCTGCTCCAAAGTCTCACCTGCTGAGGAAATGAGTGGTCGGATAGAGGCAGAGACCTCATCCTCCACACTGGAAGAGGAGTTTCCTCCAGACTTACTGGAAAAGACAAGAGGAGATAAAAAAGACAGAGAAAACACGGTGGTATTAATGCAGAAAACCACTAAAGTAAACTAATGATTTACCGTGGCTCGTTACGGTTTTATCACCACAAGGGTAAAGTATTTAATTCCCAGAAAAAACACCTGAACCACACGTTTTAAATCTGAGCAGCAGGAGATGTTTATAAGTTAAATACTCGTTAAAATATTAACCTGCCATGATTTATTTGTATCTTTACAATTAAAGCATTAAAACTAATGGGAAGAATGCAGCGTGTATCCTTTTTTAAGTTAGTTAATTATTTGACTTTTATCTAAAACAATTGCCTTGCCTTGACCTGACTTGGACAGAATGGTGGCAAAAGAAACAAAAATGTAATCAATGAATTACAGAGTTGATTGATTAAAGGATCTAAACTACTTGCACACATTAGCCTTAATATGTTATTATTTCTCTATTCTACTGAAAGTTCTTTGTGACATGCAAAAACTAATTACCGGTACTTAAGTATATATGTATATTAAAATTTTCACCTAGGGATGTCACCATAACTTTACAGGTGCAATGCATTCTGGGGCAATGACGTACTTCAGTTGTAATGGAGACTAAAACACAAGGAGTTATAAAAAGTTATAACATGACAATAGAGTTATATTTTGTATTATTCCTTTAGCGCTAACAACACAAACATTAGCTCTAGAGCTAATTTCATATATATTTCATCTGGAGCTAACACTTATGTATTAGCTATGAAGCTAACAACATATGTATTAGCTATGAAGCT